CCCAGGGGTTTAGGGGGTCCCCCGCCACCCACCGGTCTCGCAGCGGGGTCCCAGGAAGCCGGGTACCCCCTCCCCACCCCCCCTTTCCCAGGGACACCCTCCCCAGGGGATCCAGGCTACTGGGGGGGACTTGGGCATCTCGGGGGGCACCCAGGGATTCGGGGGGGCACCCAGGGGTCCAGGGGGGGTCCCCGCCACCCACTGGTCTCGCAGCGGGGTCCCAGGAAGCAGGGTAACCCCTCCCCACCCCCCCAGGGGACCTGGATTATTGGGGGGGGACTCGGGCATCTGGGGGAGCACCCAGGGGTCTGGGGGGACACCCAGGGATTCGGGGGGGGTCCCCGCCACCCACTGGTCTCACAGCGGGGTCCCAGGCATCCATGCACCCCCTTTCCCAGGGACACCCCCCTAGGAGACCCAGGCTACTGGGGGGAACTCGGGCATCTGGGGGTGCACCCAGGGATTCGGGGGGGGCACCCAGGGGTTTAGGGGGGGTCCCCGCCACCCACCAGTCTCGCAGCGGGGTCCCAGGAGGCCGGGTACCCCCTCCCCACCCCCCAGGGGACTCAGGCATTGGGGGTCACCCAGGGGTCCGGGGGGTCACCCAGGGATTCAGGGGGGACTCAGGGATTTGGGGAGGCACCCAGGGGTTCAGGGGGTCCCCCGCCACCCACCGGTCTCGCAGCGGGGTCCCAGGAAGCAGGGTAACCCCTCCCCACCCCCCAGGGGACTCAGGATATTGGGGTGCACCCAGGCTAGTGGGGGGGACTCAGGGGTCCGGGGGGGCACCCAGGGATTTGGGGGTGCACCCAGGGGTCCGGGGGGCCACCCAGGGGTTTAGGGGGTCCCCCGCCACCCACCGGTCTCGCAGCGGGGTCCCAGGAAGCAGGGTACCCCCTCCCCACCCCCCCTTTCCCAGGGACACCCTCCCCAGGGGATCCAGGCTACTGGGGGGGACTTGGGCATCTCGGGGGGCACCCAGGGATTCGGGGGGGCACCCAGGGGTCCAGGGGGGGTCCCCGCCACCCACTGGTCTCGCAGCGGGGTCCCAGGAAGCAGGGTAACCCCTCCCCACCCCCCAGGGGACCCAGGCATTGGGGGTCACCCAGGGGTCCGAGGGGGCACCCAGGGATTTGGGGGGACACCCAGGGGTCCAGGGGGGGTCCCCATCTCCCACCGGTCTCGCAGCGGGGTCCCAGGAAGCAGGGTAATCCCTCCCCACCCCCCAGGGGTCCCAGGGATCTGTGCACCCCCTTTCCCAGGGACACCCTCCCCAGGGGACCCAGGATACTGGGGGGGAATCGGGCGTCTGGGGGTGCACCCAGGGATTCGGGGGGTCCCCCGCCACCCACCGGTCTCGCAGCGGGGTCCCAGGAAGCCGGTGCCCAGGCAGTCGCAGATGAAGCGGTTCCAGCCCTCGCGGCAGAGCCCCCCGTTGTGGCAGGGGCCGCTGGCGCAGTGTCGGGGGGGCTCGCGGGCGCAGAAGGGGGTGACCCCCGGGGCCCCCCGCGTCTCGGCCAGGCGCCGCACGTCCCAGCTGCGGCCGTCCACGAAGAGGTCGCGCAGGCAGCCCACGAAGCCGTAGCGCAGGAACGCCGTCCAGAGCTCGGGGGGCAGCGGGGGGCCCCCCCGGGCCTCGGGCAGCCCCCCCAAATACAGCTCCGCCTCCAGGTCCAGCACCTCGTTCTCCCCGCTGGCCAGGAAAGGGGTGCTGCGGCTGTTCACCGACACCAGG